GAAGCAGCCTGTTGTTGCACGTTCATCAGCTGAAGCTGAGTACAGAGCCATGGCTAGTACTGTCAGTGAACTTGTCTGGCTTCGCTGGTTACTTAGTGAGTTGGGTGTGACCAACTCATCTCCGATTCCGCTGCATTGTGATAACCAGGCAGCTCTCCATATTGCTGCCAATCCAGTGTTTCATGAGCGAACGAAGCATGTCGAGATGGACTGTCATTTTGTTCGTGAACGTGTGACTTCTGGCGAGATAGCTCCACAGAAGATATCCTCCCGTGACCAAGTTGCTGATATGTTCACCAAAGGGTTAGGTGCGGAGCAGCTCAGTTTTCTGACCTCCAAGCTTGGCCTGCATGATATACACGCCTGCGCTTGAGGGGGCGTGTTGCGGAGTACGTACTAGTTGATTTGTTGTGTACGTACCCGACCTGTCCAAGTGTCTTTTATTTTTGTTTGAGGACTATACTGGCTATTTGTCATTCCCAGTTACGTGGAGAAAGGGATTGCCAACTAGTATATATTGTTTTGTAAGCTGCTGCCGCAGTATTATTGATTCTGCAGAACCCTAATAAAACCTAAGCCGAAGACTCCTTGAGTGAGTCTTCCGTGGATTAGTCTTGCTCTCTAGAGCAAGGATACCACGTAAATCGTTGTGTTCGCGTTTTACCTTTGATATTTCTCAGCCACTAACTTTCTTTTGATGTAATGGGGACTGCCCATGAACGATTAATTAATACAACTTGGGAGTTTAGGACACAATTGACCTCTGTTTTCTTGAGAGAACAAAAACGTTTCTAAACCAGCAACACATCCAATATTCATGTAACCGTACCGTATCTGTGGTTCAACCACAAAATTATAGGTGTCAAAACATGACCCGACCCGAGTAACCCGCCCAACCAACCCGATCCGCAACCTGCCCGCAACCCGGTTGGACTAAAAGTCAAAGACCCGCAACCCGCCCGACCCGCAATCCGCTTGACCCGCAACCCGCAACCCGCTTGACCCGCAACCCGCTTGACCCGAACCCGATTGACCCGCAACCCGATTGCCCCGCAACCCGATTGACCCGTAACCCGACTAACCCGAACCCGATTAACCCAACCCGAACCCGCCCGATTTGCACGAATAATACTACATAATATATTTTTGTGCATAAATATTATATGTAAATAATATATATAAATTTTACTTGACTTGCCTTATTATTTTTTTCATCTTTCCCACCAAGAACAAAGGTTTACTTTGTGTTGACAAATGACAACTGTCATTAAATTGAATCACATAATAGTCTCACTGTCTCGGTAAATTGAATCACATAATACTTTTTGGTCTCTCTGCCTTTTAGTTGAATCAAATAAACAACAAGCTCAAATTATAACAAATCAATTACGTGGACTAGTTGGCTTATGTGCTGGTCTTTCCCATCCGAGGGACACGGTTCAAAGCCTAGTAGAGACATATTTTTTAACATATACATATTTTTGTATGTCAACTTATACATAAAATTCACTTAATGTTTTTGTATGTCAACTTATACATAAAATCCACTTAATGTATAACATAGTTAGTAAAATATGGTACGAGAAAGTTACGTATAAAATACTTACGGGTATTATACTTCGTCTCTTTGGTAATGCTACGTTTAATAGTACGTTAATAGTAATAAATATATAAAACTAATTACTTTTATAAATAAATCAATATGTAAAAATAGTAAATTTAATAATACATAAAATTCACTTAATGTATAGCATAGTTAGTAAAATATGGTACGAGAAAGTTACGTATAAAATACTTATAGGTATTATACTTCGTCTCTTAGGTAATGTTACGTTTAAGAGTACGTTAATAGTTATAAATATATAAAACTAATTACTTTTATAAATACATCAATATGTAAAAATAGTAAAGTTAATAATTCATTTCATTAAATACGGATATTAAACGTTTGGAGTCGTAGGACATATGTTATTCTCAATAACCAACAATTTCATAATACATAACTATAGTTCATGGTTTAAGGTTAGTGCATAGGGTATACGGTAGTGGACTCGTGGTTTAGAGTTTGAAGTCATAGGATATATGTTCTTCTCAATAACCGAATATAAAATTGACTCAACTTACATTCTTCACATAACATACGTTGTAGCTTATTCCAACAATTTCATAACATATAAATATAGTATAGGGTATAGTCGTATAGGGTCATGGTTTAGAGTTCATTGTTTGCATGTTTGGGTTATGGAATTATGGTTAAGGGTTGAGGTTAGTTTTAGGGTTAATTACTTAATGTTGTGATTTAGGATAATGTATGGTTGATGGTTAAGGTTAGTTTTATGTTTCAGATTTAAAAAGGTGTTATAGGGTTAGGGTTTAGGGTTTAGGGTTAGGGTTTCTTCACACTACAGGAAAACTAGTTTCTAGTCACGGGATATTTAATACGGTAACTGTTACCGTATTAAAAACTATACTAGTAATCGCGGGGAAAAATCCCATATTTAGTTGTACAATTCTAATCACGGTAATTAATTTGTCTGATTTTTAGTCTACATTTCCCGTGATTAAATCTTAGTCGCTTGTTATTTCCCGTAAATAATTTGACAATTTAATTTTGAGAATAATTTCTCAATACTACAGTGGCAGAATTCTCTTTGGCTCTAAAAATTTGGTTGATCCAAAATTTTACTTCCCTCCAAAGAAATTCCAGCAGAAAAGAACCCACTTCATTTGAGTTTTCACATTTTGCCTTGCGCGCCCAGTGATGGAATTTTACTTCCCTCCAAAGACATTCCAACAAAAAAAACCCGCCTTCATTTGAGTTTTCACATTTTGCCTTAAGCGCCCAGTGGTGAAAATTTTGGTTACTTGAACCATTGCAACTTGGTTATCTTCCTCTCTCTCTCTATTTTTTCTTCTCTAGAGAAATCGAGTCGAGCGCCTGTCAGGCTGCCAATATCGGCTACTCTAGTTGCTTCTCCTTCCCCACTGATTCCTCCTCCTTCCTCCCTCCTTCCGCCGTTCTCCAAACCTCCACCAATTCCTCCGCATCTGAAACCCTCTCTCTTCCTCCGCATCTGAAACCCTCCGCTCCACTTCTTACTTCGCCGGCAAATCGATGGTGGCAGCGGGGATGTGTTCTCCATTCCCAGAGCGATGTTCAAGTGAGAAGAAGCTGGCCAAAGAAGTAGGGTCAGATAAAGGGAACAAGTGATTGAAATCTGCAACCTCCATCTTCTCACTCGACCTAGGGTTAGAAAGAGGAATTTCAGTTCTTCTTTTCTCCTCGACCCACTTCCTTAAGCCAACGACAGATCAGACTGCTCATTCACAACTCGAAATCAGCTCGTCCTTCTCGTCTTCTGCTCGGCGGCCTCCTATCTATCGCCATCCACCATCCGCCCACAACAGAGAGGCGAGAACTCCTAGTGCGAACAATTAATCAATCAATCCGCTCATTCATCTCATCATCTTCGTGCTTGTGTGGGGTTATCGAGTCTTCACTTGAACAAATCTCAAGGAAAGAAAGACCCGACAGGTGAAACAGTAAAGAGAAGTGAAGCAATTCATCAGCTAGCTCTTCCTAGTCCCCTGTATTAAGGTAAAAGAGTGTGTAATGTCATCATGTCTCTTTCTACAGCTCCCATGTTTTCCGCTTCCTTGTTGTAGGTACTCTATTCCTTTTCCCTTGATGAATGTTTCTATTATAGGAAAGCATCAACAAGGTGGTTGTTATAGTATAATGATTAATTATGAAGATTGGATTAGTCTAATGGGTTGTGCCTGTGGTTCTGATCTAGGTGATAAACGATGGTGCTTGGAGACTAAACATATATGTACTCATATGGTCTTTTTTATTATATACATAGTACTCCCTCAAACTCCCTGCATTTCTTCAATTTACTGTCACCTTTGATCATCACCCACACGGCACACCCATGTATGATGAGAAATTAAATGGATTAGAAGGGCAGCAGGTTGGAAGTTAACTTGGCATGCTATGCCTAGAATGTTGTTGTGATTGGTGGTTGGGTAAAAATGGAAGTTAACTTGGCATCCTAACAACTCCATTTTTGTCACAACAAATTATGTTTTAAGAACTGGAGTCGGGTGGTTGTAGTGTTGTGTAATGCAGGTGAACATAAAGCCGTTTAGGATCTAATGAAACCTTCCCCTAATACCTTATTGATGTTTTATGGCTTATTTGTCATTTGGATTCATGTAATGTACTCGAGTTTATGCAAAGATTCATCCTTTAAAGTCAAAGGGTGATGGGGGAAAGTCTATGGATTGAATATGATGTGTTAATCTCCTCACGTGCGTTTGAGAAGGCAAGACAAGAAGTTCCAGTCTATTAATAGACAGTTCTGTGAGAAATCTATCCACCACCACAACCGATCACTCCCCTTAAATTCGTGTAATAACTCCCTAAAAAAAAATAGTGTAATAACTAATTATAAAAAAAACTCGATGGTGTGGACCGAACAACCCGCAACCCGACCTGTTGTAACCCTCAATTCGATCAACCCGAACCCGATTGATCTGCAACCCGATCAACCCGTAACCCGATTGATCCGCAACCCGATCAACCCTAATCCGATCAACCCGCAACCCGATCAACCCACAACCCAATCAACCCGCAACCCGATCAACCCGAACCCGCTTGACCCGCAACCCGATTAACTCGCGACCCGACTGAACCCGACCCGAACCCGCCCGAACCCGCCCGATTGACACCTATACACAAAATACTAGTATTGGAGGCTAAACCAATAAGCGATATTTAACTGTACTAACGGTTGAACTACGGTTAAACTACGGTGACCATAAAATATTTTATCGCTGACTTTTCCGGTATGGTCTCCGCTGATTTTCTCGGTACGGTTTCATCGATCATGCTCATTTCCCAAAAGATTAAAAAAAAAGTATTTCAAAATAAACGGCGCCAGAAAAGGTATTCTGCGCCAGGAAAGTCTTCTTTACCAATTACCACCAGTCCTGATCTAACCTTTGCCTCGCTTCCCAGCGGCAGAGAGCTACCTTTGCCTCATTTCCCCAAAACCCATGGCTTCAATCGTCCTCTCCCCCATCGTAACCCAAATCGTCGAAAAGCTTTCTGACTTAGCTCTCCACCATATCTCACTCTTCTGCACACTCCAAACCGAGCTCCAAAACCTCAAAGTCACAGTCTCTGCCATCCATGCCGTCCTCCTCGACGCGGAAGAGCAACAATTCCACAATCGCCAGGTCAAAGACTGGCTCGAGAAGCTGTCCGAGGTGATGTACGATGTCGACGATCTGCTCGACGATTTCGCCACCGAGGCAGCGCTCAAGAAGCTGGCAGCAGCAGCAGAAGATGATTATGTCGAGAGAAGAAAGACGACTTGCTGGAGTACCACGGTATGTTCTTCTTCGAAGCAATTGATGTATGGTTATCGGATGGCTCGCGAAATCAGGGCCATTAGGGAGAAGCTGGAGCTTCTGTCTAAGGATAAGGACAATTTCCATTTGGAAGTTCGCGTTGACGACGACCTAGCCAGTCTTCCGTTCAGGGAGACGGATTCTTGTCCGCCGACGATCGTTGTTGGGAGGAAAGATGACCATAGTAAAATTGTTGAATTGTTGCTTGATTTTGAGAGTGGGGACAATATCTCCGTTGTTCCAATTGTTGGGATTGGTGGGTTGGGGAAGACTACTCTTGCTCAGCTTGCTTTTGACGACGAACGAATGATTGAGAGCTTTGAAATCAAAGTCTGGGTGTATGTTTCGCAGAATTTCGATATCAAAGCGATTCTGGCAAAGATGTTGGAATCGATAAATCGCAAGAGCCAGCCTGCGGATCTTGCATTGGATGTTTTGAAAGTTCTGTTCCAGGACAAGATTAGAGGGAAGAGGTTCTTGTTCGTGCTGGACGATGTTTGGGAGGAGAATGAAGGAAGTTGGGAGGCTTTGGGGAAGTATCTGACTGTTGGTGCACCTGGTAGTAAAGTTCTGGTGACAACACGGTCTAGGCTAGTTGCAGAAGTCAGCAGCAAGATTTTGAAGCCTGCAACGAGTACTAGTTTGGTGGGGTTGCCTTATTTCTTGGAAGGCTTGGAGCTTGATGAGGCTTGGAACTTAATGGTGAAGAAGGCTGGAGTAGTCCCACAAAGCTCTAACGTAGAGAGCATCGCGAGAGAGATATTAGGGAAATGTTGCGGGGTTCCCCTTGCTGTGAACATGGTAGCTGGTTTGTTAAGTTCCACAGATCCTGAAACAGAGTGGCCCTTGTTTCTGCAGAAGGAACTTTGGACCATATCTGAAGGAGAAAATCCTATCATGTCAGCTCTCAGGCTAAGTTTCAATCATCTTCCTGCGCACTTAAAACGTTGTTTTGCTTACTGTAAGTTGTTCCCGAAGGGTCATGTATTCGATGTTCAAAGGCTGGTGCAGTTTTGGAGAGCCCAAGGGTACATTGAATCGGCAGATCGAGGCTTGGAATTGAATATGGGTTTGCGGTATTTCAAGACGTTATGGTGGAGATCATTCTTTCAAGAGGTGGAGATGGATGCGCTGGGGAATCTGCAGATATGCAGAATGCATGATTTAATGCACGAATTAGCTGCCTCAGTAACAGGAACAAAGATCTTCAAAAGGCCAAAATCAGCCATCCTAGAACATACTTCTTTGGGAACTCGTCACTTGGCAGTGGTTAGGCATTACGGCGATGTAGTTGGAGAAGTTCATAATGCGTGTGACGGGACCGGAGGTGCAAGCAAGGTGCGAACATTGATAAGTGACGATGTATCTTTCGTACGAGAAGAATTCGAAAGAGTACTCAACAACTTCATACGCTTGCGAGTGTTGATATTGTATGTAAGGCGATTAGATTCAGGCTCCTCTTCCAAACTGCTGGACTCCGTCAGTGGTTTGAAGCATTTGAGATTTCTTCGTCTCAATTTCGATGGAATGGCAAAGCTCCCGGACTCGATCACCAACCTTGTGAATCTGCAGGTGCTGGACCTCAGTTGGTGTCGCCTTCTAAAAGAACTACCGAGGGACTTAAAAAAGATGGTTAATTTGATGCATCTGTACCTCTATCCCTTGGGGGTGAAATTGACCCACATGCCAAAAGGGATTGGGGAATTAACTTCCCTTCTAACTTTACCAGTTTTTGTGGTCAGCAAGAAGAAGAAGAGCAGAGGAAATGATAACAAGATGGAGGAAGAAGTTGGGGGATTGGACGAGCTGAAAGCGTTGAATGCATTGCGTGGAGAGTTAACCATTAAAAACTTGGTGAAGGCTGAATCAGTTGGTTATGGTGTTCATGTCTTGAAGGAGAAACCATTTCTTCAGTCCTTGGTTTTAGACTGGGAGTACAACAATAGTGACGACGACGACGACGACGACAACGATGGTGATTATGCTTCTACTATTGATGAAGAGATACTTGAAGCTCTTTGCCCACATCCAAATCTGAAAAAACTGATGATACTCAATTATGGAGGCGCAAAGCTCGCCAACTGGCTGTCCACCATCACCAATCTTGTGGAGCTTTCACTGGAAGATTGCAGGGAATGCGAGTACCTCCCACCGTTGCATCAACTCCCATCTTTGAGGGAGCTGGTGATCGACGCTTGCCCCAATCTAAAAGGACTGTGGATTGACGTGATGGTGGAAGAAGATTGGCCGTCTTTCCCTTGCCTTCGCCGGTTGGAGGTAGTGGATTGTCCGAACCTGACTCGGATGCCTCTGTTTCCAACTGTAGAAACTAGGTTGGAGCTGCGTAAAACCGGGTCGCAGTCACTTCTACGTACAATGAACATGAAAACAACAACAATGGCAAGCTCTCCTCCTTTGTCCAAGTTGACATCATTGCAGCTTGTGGAGATGGATGACCTCGAGACTCTCCCGGAAGAAGGGCTCAGCAACTTGACGTCTCTTCAAGTGTTGGAGATTGTCAAATGTTTGAGATTAGCATCCTTGAGTGCAGTGAGGAACCTACATTCTTTGCAAAAACTAGATATTCTGGAGTGTCCTCAATTGAATGACAGATGCAGAAAGGGGAAAGGGGAAGATTGGCCCAACATTTCCCACGTACCAGAGATAATGCTGGACGGAAGAGCATTTAAATGGGGTTTGGAATGAGAGATTGCACAGGCAGAGTAGGGTGTTAATTCTCTATCTTCTTCCACATTTCTACATTTGTACGATGCACGCCTCTGTAAAGAAGAAAAGAAAGCCATTATACGGATATTTCTTCTGTTCTGTATGTCCCGAATTCTCAGTGTGTGCTGCAGCAGAGCAATCAGTTGGTTCTTTCACAATAGATCTTGCATTTTGCTGATTATCTTTCCAAGTTTTGCTCTGTTATGATCATTTACATGTTCAATAATTTAGTCTGACATTAAGCATTCTACTGCAGCAAATTCCCGGTTGCAAAACAGATTCGTGGAAAGTTGGGCAGCTTGGCATAGGAGCAGATTGGACCCTTATGCTCTCCGAGAAACGAGCTCCGGAAACTCAAGGACGCAGAAGGTGTTCCGATGACACTCGAGGCCAACTTTCCATTGTAAAGATGGTGCACTGTTGGGATGCATTAAGCGAGATGAGAGTTGCATTTTGCACTGAATCAATCATCGGTGAGCATTCATGCTCTCATAGCATCCGGGTTTTGCTACATTTGGATAATTTGCTCATCTGTTTATTCGGCGAAAAGCAGGGTTTCGTAATCTGAAACTGGAGATGCTGTTGAAGAGAGTAGACTACTCTGGCGGTGGCCTATGATAGCCTTCTTCAAGTCTCCTAGAAGAAACAACTTCCAATGTTAAAGCATTACACATGATCATAGACCAAATTCCTGACGATTATCCATTTTCAGAAAGTCTTGGGTGTAGTGAGAAACCTTCGTTCTTTGCAAAAACTAGAAATTGTGGAGTGTCCTCAATTGAATGACAGATGCAGAAAGTGGAAAGGGGAAGATTTGCCCAACATTTCCCACGTCCCAGAGATAATGTTGGACGGAAGAGTATTTAAATGGGGGTTTAGAATGAAAGATTGCAGAAGCAGAGTATGGTGTTAATTCTCCATCTTCTTCCACATTTCTATGTTTGTACAATGCATGTCCTCTGTAAAGAAGAAAAGAATGCCACTATACGGATATATGTCTATTGTATGTCCCGGATTCTCAGTGTATACAAAATGCCACAATGTTTGTAAATTTGGTATGTTCCCTAAATGTTTTTTCATTCCCAACTATTAATGAGTGATTATAAATTGTTTGCAGCCTGCAGTGCTGCACTAGATCTTGCACTTTGCTAAGAACCTTTGCAATTTTGGTTCTGTTATTCAACTAGTTAATCTTTTCCTCCCTACCATTCATTACTTCCCCCACTTCTTGATTTCTCATTGCTTTGAAGTAGGCTGAAACCTTTCTGGTCCCTGTGGCAAAACAGATTCGTGGAACGTTGGGCAGATGGACATTGGAGCAGATTGGACGGAGTCCTATGCAGCTAAGAAACGAGCATGGTGTTCGGATCACTCTCATGCCCCGGTTTCCACTGTAGTGATGGTGCGGTGTTGGGATGCAATAAGCAAGATGAGAGTTTCACATTGCACCGAATCAATCATCGGTAAGCATTCATGCTCTCATTGCATCTTGGTTTTTGCTACAATTGGATAACATGCTCATCTGCTGATTCAGTGAAAGCAGGGTTCGTAGTCTGAAACTGGCAATGCTGATGAAGAGGGTAGACTATTCCCGCGGTGCCCTAGAATAGCCTTCTTCGTGTCTTCCCGAAGAAACAACTTCTTATGTTCTTAATACTAGCTTTCATTGCCCGCGCTCCGCGCTGGGATTTGCATAACATATGTTTATAGTAGTTGTAAAATTTTAAAATAAAACCAAGGCAATGTTATATATGATCATTCGTATACACAATCTACAAATCTTGTTTTCAATCAAGGAAAATCCAACACAAAAACAAAGTTCTACATTAGAATTATACTGTTATTTAAATCTCGAATAAGTAAATTAAATGAGCATGACATGTAGTATATTACAACTATCATTTGGACTCTTCAGGGCCTTCGTGGGTTACATTTCAACATTCACCTCAAAGAAATCATGTATAATCTATTCAAGGAGTCACCAAGTGGGTCACAATCTATAAGACTTTCAAAAAGATAATCAATTAGCCAGATGCGAACTTGTTTATATTTAAACAACTCAAAGCTTTCCTAACTTTCTTAAACCAATCGAAAGAGACTTGGAAGTAGTTTTGACAATCTACCAATCACACATCACAGCAGAATGTTGGCACGATCCATCTGCTGACATCAACTGCATATAAGGCCAGAAAAGGAAAAGAGTCAGAAACATAATTAGGCATAGAATCAGATTAAAACCTTTGGGGCACCTCAAACTAAGCCTCTACCCTCCTGTAGTTTCTCCATTTAGAGGCACCACATGACATCCATCTAGAGACAATAAAGGCGAAGAAACAATGCTATATTCTGACCAATCATAATAATTTGAAGTCAATTATCAAAGCCCAGGGGAAAAGCAAAAGAATTTTTTTCAAAAGGATTAAACTTGACTCTATAAATCACTGAACCAATTGAACTCGAAAACAATGATTGACCGAAAATTTAATTGTGGGCTGCTCAGAATCCACTATTTTTGCAGAAGAAAAATATATAGGCCGCTAAAGCTCTGAACTTTTACGACTCACAAGGTCAATCACAGTTCACCAATTTCTTAACAAAATTTGTATTAGTTGGCACAGAAAAGGGCGAATCATATGATTAGAAGAGATCAACAACACTAAGTCACAAACAAATAAAAATCAGAGAAACAACAATAAGTACCCACCAAACTTGTTTAGAACCTATGATCACTGTAGGCTTCCCATCTATCATTTACACCGTGATCCAATCAACCCATACTATTTTCAAAGATCTTGGCCAAGTATCAAAAAGTACAGGACAACGAAATTATTAGGATTTGGAAACAAAACATACGCAGAGCCTGAAACTTAAGGAAAGACTTCAAAGGTTTCTACTCCTTATAATCGCGAATGTCAATTTTCAACACCAGTTTCTAGCAAAAGAAGAAACGATCAATCAAGAGCAAAATTCAAAAAATAAAAGAGTAGAAACACAACCATGATCGTTGATATTTTGGTCCTACCGAAGCTTGCATTCACCACTGTGGCAACCCCATCAACGAATCACGAATTGCGATCCAGGCAACTAATGGTCTTTGAGGCTATTCCTTATAATTAACTGCATCTTTTTCTTGTAAATAAACTCGTTGGTGGCATTTTATTCAAAACCGACAAAACAAATAGTTGAAAGGAGAAAGAGATAGAGAGAACAAATCAAGGAGGAATCAGCTCACAACTAAAGCCTGCAAATCCGGATCACATAATCCTTTAGGGACCGCACAATACTCGGATTTGGTTGCTTTAAGCTCCATTGGTTATCGAAAAATATATAAGGAAGTGCATTAAAACCCAAACGTTTGTGTTTCCGAGAATTGAGAAGATAAAATCAAACCTTCAAGAGCAGAATTATGATGAGAGATAACCGAGAATCAGAGCTCATCTGAGATGGGAAGGTGATCTAGATATCATGAATCTCCCCCGAAAAATTGATTGTCTGAGCATACAAACTGCCAAGAGCCTTCACAGGTGAGAAAGAGAAACCTTTTGAGTGAAGATAAACAGGGGAAGAAAAATAGGAGACCAGTGTTAAAAGAATATGCAACTAAAGATCGTAGAGGAAAGAGACGAAGCAAAACCATCAAATTCTCACCTTAAACCATCAGGTTAACAATCTGGTTCCCGGCGGCCGATCTCGTCGCCCCGACGTACAGCCTCTCCAACGTGGATCTACAACCATGGATCATTAGATTAGTGACTTCTTGTTGGAACTCGATGACCTCCTTGGATGTGTACTCATTGCAGATACCCTCCTCTGAAAGGCCATAAAACCCCATGTTGAGAAAGAAAGAGAGATCACACCATCCAAGTGAAGAGATAAAAAAAAAATTAACAAATAGAGAAAACATACCTTGCTGATTTGGTTCTCCACCGATTCCTCTCTCTGATTTGGGTCTTCTACAGTTGATCGCTCCTAGTTCCTGATTCCCGGAAAGGGTGTGTGAGAAACAAAGCAGAGAGAAGTGCGAGAAGGAGAGTGGAAAGAGGAAAATATGAAGAAACTTTTGACCCTTCGGCTTCTCCGAGTCAGTTTGTTCATCCAAAAATGAAATAAAAGAGAAATAGAAAGCTGATGGGGTAGGTTAAACGAATGGTTAAAATGAAAGCTATGTGGCTCTTAAATCTGCCAAACAAATCACAAAAATATCCATGGAAAAATCTCTTCCCTTTCTTCCTCTCTCTTGGCATGCACAGTAAACCTTCAGTCTCCATTTGCAACACTTCTTTCCTCTCACGATCTCTGCAGCCAAAGCAATAAATCAACAACTGGTCTCCATCAGCAACCCACTATCCTCTCCCAATCTCTGCCGCATAGTCTCTCTCCTGCCGTCGAATCACCCCAAAAGCACATGATGCTGGAAAGTCTCCCTGTGACCAACGCAAATAGAACTGAGCTCCAATCCGGGGCATTTCTTTTTCTCTCAGTGCCCTCCAATCACCTCAAACAACCCATCACTGTTCATGAATGGCCAACAGTTCCTTCAAGAGTCTCTATGGATAGCACAGAGAGATTAGAGATAGACCAGCCTCACAAAGCTTCTCTGGCACCGCATAGTAACGCGTCAGATGAACAGGAAAATAAGGTCTAGATGAGCAGTAGAATGTATCTATGTCCACAGTAAATTGTATCTGCGTCTACAGTGTCCGGTGTTTTGTGCTATTATACTTTCCAAAAATGAAATAAAAGAGAAATAGAAAGCTGATGGGGTAGGTTAAACGAATGGTTAAAATGAAAGCTATGTGGCTCTTAAATCTGCCAAACAAATCACAAAAATATCCATGGAAAAATCTCTTCCCTTTCTTCCTCTCTCTTGGCATGCACAGTAAACCTTCAGTCTCCATTTGCAACACTTCTTTCCTCTCACGATCTCTGCAGCCAAAGCAATAAATCAACAACTGGTCTCCATCAGCAACCCACTATCCTCTCCCAATCTCTGCCGCATAGTCTCTCTCCTGCCGTCGAATCACCCCAAAAGCACATGATGCTGGAAAGTCTCCCTGTGACCAACGCAAATAGAACTGAGCTCCAATCCGGGGCATTTCTTTTTCTCTCAGTGCCCTCCAATCACCTCAAACAACCCATCACTGTTCATGAATGGCCAACAGTTCCTTCAAGAGTCTCTATGGATAGCACAGAGAGATTAGAGATAGACCAGCCTCACAAAGCTTCTCTGGCACCGCATAGTAACGCGTCAGATGAACAGGAAAATAAGGTCTAGATGAGCAGTAGAATGTATCTATGTCCACAGTAAATTGTATCTGCGTCTACAGTGTCCGGTGTTTTGTGCTATTATACTTTTAATTATCCATTACAGTATTTACACATGATCATAGACCAAATAGCTAGTTGTGGGTCATAACATGCTCATGCACGGTACTCCTTGATGTAGATCATCATTCACTGGATCAAAGATCAGCAACCGCAGTGATTTATGGTAGTGAACTATTTGTCGACTGCAGCGTTGGTTGCTTGTTGTTCTCTGACTGTTTATTTGTTACCATTAACTATGACAAAAAAAAAAATCCATCACAAAATTCAACCAATGAAGAATAGATTTCAAAATCCTAGGAACCTAAGAACTCAAAATCGACTACTACCCAAAATCCATTCATTCCATCTTGAAAGTAACAATACCTGCATAATCATGAATAACAACATGATGATTCTAATCAACTGATACATCGACCATGTCTTTCCAATCTCGCACATGTGGGATAGTAATGAATCCAAGTTAACTCTTTAAAAGAACAAGTAACAAAATCACTATTTTATAGAGTCACATCATAAGTGGTGTTCTATTTTGTAATTAACAAAATCTTTGAGGGCTTTTGTATCATACAGGTTCTAATTAATTAATTAATGACAATTGAGCCCAAATTGGACAACATCAATGGGTATTCGACCTGGTTAAAGCGAGGTGAACCCGATGTTGACGAATTTTTGGTTGACGGTGAATTTTTGGGTATTCAACTCGGTTAGAGCGATTGTAATCGGCGTTAACGAATTTTGGGTCGAGTAAGTTTTACATGTGTCGCGTGCTCCTGCACCCCACTCGCTGACCGGGCAGCGACCCCCGTGACTTCCAGTCGTAGCGCTGATAGTCCGATTCAAGTCACATCAACAAATCTCCACCTTGACTTGAATCCTCTCCTATGAAATCTCGGATGTACTCTGCTCCTCCTCTCCTGCCATCAATGCCCTATGGCAGAGTCACCCACTCAAGACATTCAGCAAGTCCAAGCAGTGTTGGAACTTTTCATGTGGAACCGGCTTCTCGAACATGTCAACAGTATTATCCGTGTGCCAACCTTATTCACCTTAATCCTCTTCTTTGTCTTCAAGAAATGATATCTCACGTCGATATGCTTAGTCCTCTCATGGTGGACTTGATCCTTGGCCAAGCATATTGCACTCAAATTGTCGCAATACACCCCTGCTTGAACATGATGTAGACCCAGATCACCAACGAGTCCCTTCAATCATATTCCCTCCTTAGCAGCTTCTGTCAACACCATATACTCTGCCCAGTAGTAGACAATGTCACCGGCAACTGTAGAGTTGCCTTCCAGCTCACTACAGAACTCCCAAGAGTGAATAACCAGTCACACATCTCCTCGTGTCAACATCTCCAGCATACTCCAAGTCTGAATACCTAGACACCAAGCACTTTGTATCACTTCCGAAACTAATCCCCACATCAGGTGTACCCTTAAGGTACCAGAAGATCCTCTTCACAACCTGTCAATTGACACGCTACGACACAACAACAAACTGTGACCAAGTATAATCGCAGTCCGGAAATGCAGAATAGTGGCAAGTTTAATTTATCAACCGAGGTCTAGATCTACTGCCTACTCTGTGATTATCTATTATCTAGCGGACTAAGTTTAGTGAGAGTGATTGCAAGCAAATGAAACTAGAAAACAAGTATAGTCTGGTTCTTTCAAGTTCAAAAGGTCATCCGGATATAAACCCCCCTAGTGTGAAGTTAGTTCAGGTTATACGGCCCCAAATTACTCAGATTGATAGATAAATCAGGGAAAGTTCTTAACTTGTCTGGACTCTCGACTAAAGTGGTCTAGAACCTCTTGATTCGAATACCCGGCAGGCGACTAACCTCCACCGGTATACACTAAACTGCAAAACTCCAGACCATTCTTGACCATTCATGAAAATTAAAGTAAATTTTGAATAATCATCAATAATAGACAGAAAATACATGTTGTCTCCAATGGATTCAACTCGTGAAGGACCCCAATAGTCGGAGTGGAGGTAATCTAGTATCCCCATCGTCTAGTGGATACCCTTCTTGTGAAACTTGCTGCGATGTAGCTTCCCAAACACACAATACTCACAGAATTCCAAATTCTGCACCTTGTGCCCGCAATGAAGATCCCTCTTCGACAGAACTTGCATCCCCCGTTCACTCATATGACCCAGTCTCATGTGCCAAACAGTGGTCATATCTTCCTAATGAACCTGAGACGATGCAAGTGCAACAGAACCTAACAACACATTCCTCCGTAATGCATACAAGATACCACGTTTCACGCCTTTCAGTACCTTTCTAGAACCCTTGCAGACATACACAACTCCACCTTTTCCTTTGAAACTGAAACTCTTGTTGTGGAGTAGACTTAAGGAGATCAGGTTCTTTGTCATTCATAGAACATGCCTGACATCATTCACGGTACATAACGAATCATCATGTGTCCGAACCTTTATGGACCTGATTCCAATAACCTTGCAGGCGCCTCCATTTTCCATGACCATGTTGCCACCATCTATCTGCTCGTAGGTTGTGAAGCAATCCTTGTTCGGAGACATATGTATGAGGCTGCAGTATCCAAAAACCACACATCACCAAGATGTGTCTCATCTACAGCTAAGGCGAGATCGTCTTCAGAACTATTGTCCACTTCTACCACGACAACTGAACCATGGTTCTTCTATTGCCCTCTTTTCTTGGGACAGTTGTATTTCCAATGCCCCACTTCCTTACAGTTGTGACAAGCATCACCTGGTTGTAGACCGGGACCCTTGGAATTATTGTTCGAATTCCCTTTACCAGATTTCTTCTTTCTCTTTCCACCTGTGATAGCCACCCCGATGCTTCACCACCTGTACCAGATCCGGGCACCTTATGTCTAATCTCTCTCGTGTGAAGAGCATATCTGACATCCTCCAACGACAAACTATCTTTATCAACAATAAAAGAATCCACAAAATTCTCATATGAACTCAGCAAAGACACAGATAGGATTAGGATAGCATCTTAATCATCAACTTTCACATCTATATTGCGTAAATCCAAAAAAATAGAATTAAGCTATTCCTGATGTTCCCTCAAAGGCGTACCTTCTTGCACTCTCAAACTGAACAACCGTTGCATGAGATGCAGCTTGTTGGTTAAAGACTTCATCATATACAGACTCTTCAGCTTTAACCACAAGCCTGCGGCAGTCTACCCAGCAACGACTTCAATGATGACATCATCAGAAAACGATAGCATGATGGTCAAGTGGGCTTTCTCCTCCAGGGTATTCCACTCATCATCATCGACCGCTGCCTTCTTCTGTTTCGATGACAGCGGCCCCACAACCTTTGTTGTTTCAATAAAGCCTGCATCTTGATCTGCCATATAATGAAGTTGTTCTTCCTCGTGAACTTCTCGATCTTCATGTTTACCGACATCATTCTTCAGAATTGAAACCCTAGCCTGATTTCCAGTCGCGGCTCTGGTACCACTTGTTATCACTAAGAATCTACGGATCGCCGAAATTGAGAAAGTAAGAATACAAAGCGATAATCGAAAATAGACACATCATTTACATGGTTCACTAACACGATGTGTGATAGCTACATCCACGGGCAAGAGAGAGCCACTTTTCACTATATCGAGGAGATTACAGATTAAAGAGGAGTGTGAGAAGTATTTATAGTACTTCTCCTAGGTCTAACCCTAATCCAATCTGGTAAAGAAAAAGCGATTACAACCAGGCCAAAAACCTGAACCAAATAACATTGAGCCTATGACTTCCAGTCGTAGCGGCTAATAGTCCGATTCCAGTCATATCAAAACTCTGACCTAGTATAACCAAATTCCTCCTCTGCCGCCAATGGAAGGAATTTCATTAGCTTCATCATGAGCAGCATCAGGTTCTTCTCCCTCTCATCACAGCTAGGAAGGAAAAATTGGAAAACAGGGAAAGAAGAACAAGCATGGAATACCTGCTACGTGGATTCATTGCTTGAAATGGAGCTACCAGATGTCGAAGACAATGGTACCAAGAGAAAGCTCAACGAGGAAGAGATTCTCGGCTTGTGCTCCGAGTTCCTCGACGCAGGGACTGACACGACTGCTATAGCATTGGAGTGGATCATGGTGAACTTGGTGAAGTACCCTGATGTTTAGGAGAAGCTCTTTCGCAGGATCGAAAGCGTGGCGGTGGTGGTGGAAGGAAGTCAGGTGGTTTTGGAGGAGGATATGAGGAAGATGCGGTACTTGAGGGTTGTGTGCTTGGAAGGATTGAGGAGACATCCGTCGGGCCATTTATGCTGCCACATTCAGTGACGGAGGACACGGTGTTAGACTTACTATGCCCAATAACGCTACTGTTAACTTCATGGTGGCAGAGATCGGGTGGGATCCTGAGGTCTGGGAGGATCCCATAGCGTTCGAGCCGGAGCGATTCCTAGAAATTGGTGGCGGCGAGTTCGATTTTACCGGAATCAAGGAGATCAGGATGATTCCATTCGGAGGTGGAAGAAGGATGTGTCCTGGGTATACCCTGGACATGTTGCATCTCGAGTACTTTATGGCCAATCTTGTGTGGAACTTCAAGTGGGAAACTGCATGGGAGGTTGATCTTTGGAAGAAACCCGAGTTTCAGGGACAGAGCTAGCTTGTAAGTTGGGGAGCCATGGCCCCCCCTAACTTTACAAATATCTTTGCAAATCCCCATTGATAAGTAAACGAATGTAGCCGAAATGGTGAAGTTGATGTTTAAAACTTTGGATAGAGAGTGAGGGCAAGGTTTCGAAATGCAACACCTTCCTTTTTTTTAACCCTTTCTTTTTAGCTTCTAGAGTTCTAGTGGGGTAACTTGAGTTTTAGAAAATTCTTCAGCTTCTAGAGTTCTAGTGAGTTAACTTGAGAGGTTATTGTTAATAATCTAATATAGTTGTTCATTAGAGGTTATGCTAATATTGTGAAAATATTTCACTCATAGAGTAGTAATTTGTGAAAAAGTATAAATGCATACTCCTAATATTTGAAAGGTTTATCTTGATACTATTAGTTTCTGAGAAGATTTCAAAATTTTATTAAAAATCTCTTTGTTAACTTAAATTTACAACTTGGTGAACTATAAGTGACTATATCTAATTGTGTATTAGCTTCTAGAGTTCTAGTGGGTAACTTGAGTAATCCTTTAGCTTCTAAAGTTCTAGTGAGTTAACTTGAGAGGTTATTGTTAATAATCTAATATAGTTGTACATTAGAGGTTATGCTAATATAATTAGTTTTTTTGTGAAAATATTTCACTCATAGAGTAGTAATTTGTGAAAAAGTATAAATGCATACTCCTAATATTTGAAAGGTTTATCTTGATACTATTAGTTTCTGAGAAAATTTCAAAATTTATTAAAAACTCTTTTTGTTAACTTAAATAATAAGTGAATGTGTATCTCGTGCACAAGTTAGATATAGTCACTTATAGTTCACCAAGCTGTAAATTTATGGATAAATTTGTTCAATTAATTAAATTTAAGAATAATTTTTCAAGAATGTAGGAAAAATTTTCATCATTATTTTACCGAGAAAAAACATTTTCACCCCCCCCCCCCCCCCCCCCCCAATTTTACATCCTGGCTCCGTCCCTGACGAGTTTACAATTGTTATTAAGCACCCTCTCTAGGTCAAGTGGTTCCCCAGGGTTCGAGCCTCATCTTCGTAGTGATGATATACCTTGAATGCATAATGCACAGTTCAGGAGTTCGATACTGCCTCCTTGCATGAATATATAGAATGAATTTGCGTGTATAACTCAATCCATAGTATATGGTATGAATCAATAATATTTTTTTACGGGTAACCTGCTCAATATATTAACTCGAAAATGAGGCTACATCATCCAGCTGGAACTGGTAAATCCGAGTAATAGGCGGGCTGTCTAAGGAGACCTCTCTACTATCCCAACAGGTCTCACTATGGGCCATGATATGAGTCGCATTAATAGCCTCTTGTCGAACATGTCCAATAGAATCAATGTCAAAACCCGACTCTCTAATGAATCTCTCAATATTTCTATATAGTAGGCAGCGGCCGAGCCAGGATTTCACCGTTGGGGGGGGGGGCGGGGGGCGAAGTTTAGAAAGTATATAAATAAAATAAAATCTATCATAAAATATAATTAAAATTTGTATTATTGATATTTATTTGTAATATTTGATATAAAGAAATCGCTCAAACAAGAATCTAAACCAAAGTTTCTAAATGAAGTATTCAAAACGAATGCACAAACTATGACCAATGAATTAATTATACACTAAACATGTTTCTCAGGATTTGACCGTCGGCGGGCCGGAGTTTAGAAAGTATATTTGGTAGAATAAAATCTATCATAAAATTAAATTAAATTATTTATTTATTTATAATTTATCTATAATATTTGATATTTGGTAGAATAAAATCTATCATAAAATAAAAGTAAAATTTTTATTTATTTATAATTTATCTATAATATTTGATATAAAGAAATCGCTGCCAACAAGCCTCGAACCCAAGGTTGTCAAACCGCGGGTCGACCCGGACGAGCTAGTGGGTCATGAGTCAATGGGTCACCCGGTTTAGCCTGGAAATATGGAAAATATAATTATATAATCCTTATCCTGAATCCAACATAAAAAAAATGCAACACTACTTCAACTCCAACACACTTAAATAACATCAACTTAAATTCAAAATAGTAAAAATTCAACAACACTTAAATCATTCGCAAAACAATAAACATCGCATATATCTTTCATTCCATTTATTGGAACCAAGTCCCAAACCCTTACCAAATGACTATGACTCAGGGAACTAAAGGTAATGGAGAGGCTCAGGTCGCAAATAATGGAAAAGAAAAGACAATGAGAAGATGGTCTCCGTCGGCGAAGGAATTGGTTACCGACAATGAGAAGGGTGGAGGCACAGGCGGCCGAGGCGGAGGCCGAGCAGAGGCGGCCGAGCTGAAGGGAGGGGAGACGGAACGGTGACGGCCAATCTGCGAAGATGATTCTCTCCGCCGGCGATCGGAGCGCGCCTGACACGCCAAAACACAACACCAAACTGCGACCAAGTGTAATCGCAGTCCGGGAATGCAGTAACAGGCAAGTTATATTATCAACCCGGGGTCTAGATCTACTGCTTACTCCGTGATTCTCTATTATCTAGCAAACTAATTCGAGTGATTGTTGTTTAAAAGCAAAAGCAGTAAGAAAGCAGTAAACTGTTCGGTTTTCTAAAGCAGGTAAGAGTCACTCGGGAATGAGTCCCCCTAGCCCCTTAGTTAGGTTCAATTGTAATTCCCTGGGTTGATTTACTGTTGATTAGACTGCGGAAGATCCGACAGTAGATTGGAATCTCTTAAGCTGACCAAGCCCTCTCAGTCTAACTACCCGGCAGACGACTAGTCTTCACCGGGATAGAAAGCTGAAGCATAAGCACAGAACTCCACTACTGGAATTGTTCCAGTACAAAGCAGTAAACTGGCTAACTCTCGTATAGCCAATCTCCTACTATCGAATGAAGAGCTCTAACAACCTAATCAGATTCTATCTATCTCAGGTTGCAGCAGAAATTGAGAAAAGCTGATCAGACTCCAATCAATTCAATAAACATGCATCATTCGATTAAAATCAAACATAATATCATCCCAAGTCATTACAATCAAATCCCTAACACAAGGAACTAGGGTTCTTCATACCCAAGTGAGAGAAAGGTTCTACTCCATAGAGAGAGAAAGGAAAACAGAAATCAGAGTAGTCATACTCATAAAGATGAGGAAAATCTGCTCTGGGATGTCAATCTTCACTCCTAGGGACGCAATCTGGGCTTCAATGATGAGAAATCCACTCCAAAATAGCTCCTAGGGTTTGTTCTTCGCTCTTTCTCTCTCTAAAACTCTGTTTTTGCTAGAAAATCGAATCCTCTTCCTTGGCTCGAATCTGCCTCCAAAAACCCGACTCTGGGCGAATTACGGGCAGAATTACGGCCGTAATCACGTCCTGCCCGTAATTCGCACCAAAACGCACGTTTCACTTAAGCTGCAGGAGGAGGAGATACGCCCGTAATTTCCCAATTACCGCCAGTAATTTGGGAATTACGGTCGTAATTCTTGGGGTCTTGCCCGTAATTTTATCACCGAGAGGAAATTCTGGGGAGAAGGCTCGGCCATTAATTTACGGGCATGCCCTGGCCAATTACGGTCGTAATTTGGCAGGGGCTGCCCGTAATTCTGTCTGTGATTCGCCATCTGACCTCCAAATGACCCGAAACTTGCGCCTATGCACCTCTTACTTGCTAGGACCTGAAATACGACAAAACAACACAACCTAGCGTAAAATAGGCCAAGGAACAATCAATTCGAGCCAAAATGGCAGGAAACCAGAGTGAAAACACGTGCAAATACGATGCTATCAAATTCCCCCACACTTAACTGTTTGCTTGTCCCCAAGCAAACCAAGTACTACACAAGGTAAGCTCACATATTTCAGTCAACCAACATTGGGGACAAGTCATAAAGGCACAGAACACGTGAATCATACTGGTTTTCAAACATCAACACATGAACAACTTTAATAGCAACCTGGACAACCACCACAAAGGACATTCGAGTGCAGCAAAATCGAGCAACGGAAGAGTTTCCCTTCTGTTCACCAACCAACCAGACTTGACTCGACCACTCACTCAAAACAGTCAACTCATGCATCCAACTCAAGACATCAGAACAGAGACCGAGCAATCTAGGTCCTCACCGGGGTACAAGAGTATAGAGAATATGAAAATGAATCACTCACTCTCGACCAGTGGGGTCAGGACAATTTAATGCGAAAAATGCGCATGCTATTTCTCTCAATCCCTAACATCTCTTCACCATGATGGCAGCCTCTAAATGCTAGAGTTCACATACATAATGTCATCACTAACTAATCAGGAGGTCTTAGACACAGGTTCAAATGACTGGCTAGGGTCTTGGACATGGGGAAAAGGCCTTTTAGGTGGTGGAAGTATTCATAGCAAAAGGTTCCACATTTCCAAACCCACACAATCACAGTCAAACAAACCGGTATTCCCTTTCTGCTATTCTGCAATACTCAACATCTCAAGAGCACAAGAGCGAAGGAGGCATAAACATCAGCATTTCCAAGCCAGACTGCTAAGAAACACTACTTAATGGGCATTATTCAGATTTTTGGTAGTGGCTCTCTTTTGCTTTCAATTTTTCTTTGTTTTTCTTTCATTTTTCTTTTCATTTCTTAAGAGAGCCACCACTTCTGCACATATTTCAAACATCTGCCCAACTTTTAAGCACTACCTCCAACACTCACATAAACTTTAGCAGAAACAGCAGAGAATATGTAACAACCACTCTGTGGAACCTTCTAAAAGATGCAACAAGGGTGATTTTTTCGTTATAGACCAAAAGAAAGGATAACACACGGCTCAAAGGGGCTGACTAGGGGATATGACACATCAGGACAGTCAGTTTTGGGCGTGGGCTAATCCTATGCCCCCATCATCTTAGCTAATGACAACGTGAATGCTACACATCATGGAAGAGGGATCTATCGCACAAGAAAGAAACGAGCAGGCTCAAATCTCACATGGCTACCTATATGCTCTATCTCACATTCTGAT